TGATTTTTATATGAATATGATTTTTATTTTATGAATATTTATTTGTATATCAAATGATACATGAAATAAATGATACATATTATTCTTAGATTTTCCTATATTTTTTCTTTCTGTTCTAAACGCATTGTGAATTAAACATATGATGAAATTAAATTTTTTGAATAGAATAACCCTTATTATATGCATAGTAAAATTTATCTAAACTAAAAATTTCTTGATATATTGAAAAAATATATATATTGTTATATTGAAAAAATTGATATATTAAAATATTAAATCATTAAGAATTTACTATCTAAGAAATCAGAATTTGATAAATTATTAATTAAAATTAAATATTCTACTATATTCATATATTTCAATCTAAAATTATTTGTTAAAATAACGCCATTGTCGTTTTTTCTTGAATTCGAAATATCAACTTATTATATCAAAATATTATGAAAACTTACCTAATTTTTAAGTTATTTTCCCATAGGTATGAAGCCAGCATTTACTATCATGATATTTTTCTCTCTTGAAGCACTTTATCACATATTTACACATTTCACAAAAAATTTTTGAAGACCTCACTTATTAGAATCTTTTCGTGTCGCGCGAAGTCGTAAAACTAATTGAAATCAAATTTTACTTTTGCGCATCTTCTTGCGCATCTTGCGCATCTTTTTACACATCTTGCGCATCTTCTTGCGCATCTTGGGCATCTTCTTGCACATCCTGCGCATTTTCTTGCGCATCTTGCACATTTTGCGCATCTTTTTGCGCATCTTAGGCATCTTCTTGCATATCTTGCGCATCTTTTTGCGCATCTTGCGCATCTTGCGCATCTTCTTGCGCATCTTCTTGCGCATCTTCTTGCGCATACAAGTAAGAAACATTTATAAATCCAAATATTTTTTTTATAAATTATTCTGTTAGATATTAAAATATTTTTAATAAATTCAATAAATTATAAAATTAATAATCAATATATAATATTAAAATTTAAATATTTCATATTTGTTCAAAAATTATAAACAGTTATTCGTATTATTATCGATATGCCCGCCAATTCATGATTTATTTTAAATATATATTTATATATTTATATAGTAATAATTCTAAATTAATATTCGAAAATGTTATAACGTTAAAATAATTATTATTATTAAAAAAATATTATTCTAATTTAAAATATAATATAAAAATTATATAAAAATCATTTTTTATATTAGTAAAAATTATATATCAATTATTCCATTTTTATTATTTTGTAAGAAATGAATTTTATCATTCTAAATATATAAATCAAAAAAAAATTTAAAAATTGTTAAACTATTATTTACGAAATCTACTTATGACTATTTTGTAACTATTCTTTTTATAAAATGGCAATTAGAATATTTTAACACAGCTATAAATCGAAAATTAATAATATAAAACAATAAATCTAGTTTTAATTCGTAAAAATATATATTAATTATTATTTATAATGATGTAATGAATTATTATAACCATAAATTAATAATAAAAATTTAAAAATTGTTAAATTATTGTTCACTATATTCGAAAAACTAATTTTAATATAATCGGCAAACGACGTATGTATTCGGCAGACTTCGCCACAGTTCGCCGCGACCTTCTATAAATACGAGTCAAGTTACGAAAAGCAATCATTTCTTATCGAATTTCTGTACTGAAAAGATCGATATTATAACACTTTGATTAAATTTTTCTAAAAAATTTTAATTGTTTACTTTTATAAAATTTATTTTAAATTAACATTTAATATTATTAATATATATTATTTACACATTTTATTTTTTAATATTTTTTAATATTCATTTATTGCTTTATTTATTTGATTACTTTTACATAATTTAATTTAATTTATTTAAACATTTATTAATTTTTAATTAGTTTTAATTAGTTTTAAATTTTTTAATTATTACATTTTTTAATTATTACATTTAACGTATTTATTTATATTTATTTATACTTCTATTTAGTAATTTACATTTTTATTTTTGATTTATTAATATATTAACTTATATTTTCATTTATTTATACTTTTATTTTTTAATTATTTTATATTTTTATTTATTTATTTTTCATTTACTTCTTTTTTTTATAAATTTATTTATTTATTTATACTTCTGTTTTTTTATTTTTTATTTATTAATTTATTAATTTATATTTTCATTTATTTATACTTTTATTTTTAAATTATTTTATTTTTTCATTTATTTTTTTTTATAGATTTATTTATTCATTTACTTATAAATTTATTTATACATTTATTCATAAATTTATTTTTTAATTATTTATAAATTTATTTATACATTTATTTATATATTTATTTTTTTATTTATTTATAAATTTATTTTTCATTTATTTTTTTATTTACTTAAACTTCTATTTATTAATTTATTCATTAATTTATTTTTTTTTATTTACACATTTCTTAATTAATTATTTATTTATTTTTTCATTTCTTTATTTTCTTATGTTTTATTTACTTTGATAATTTAATATATAAATTTATAATTAAATATTTAATAATTTATACATTTATTTATGAATTTAATTATTTTTTTAGTTATTAATAAATTAATTTATTCATTCTTAATAATTTTAATTCTTTATAATGTAATGTAAATAAATTTTAATAATTCATTTTTATTATATTACATGGGTCTCGACGCGTAGTCACCTCCTCGTCGGTGAGACTCGGTAATTGGCATCGCTTTCCATATTTTTTTCAAAATTTATCGAAATATTTTATGAATATTTCATTAACAAATTTTTGAAATATATTAAATTTAGAAATAAAAGATTTATTTAATTAACAATAATTTTCGGAAAGCGATGGCAAGCGAAGAACTACGCATATCTGCAGTCCAATCTAAACTTTGCATAATTCTTTTTAACTATTTTTTTCATTAATTTTATTAATTTAACAGATTGGACTGCAGGTATTAATAAAATAAGTTAATAAATTATATTAGTTACAGTTAAGTTACAAGCGCATTCTGTATCAAGATACACTTTTTAATTTAAAGCGAAATCTCAATTTTTTTACTTCTTCATGTATAATCTTAATAAATCTTAATGTTTCGTTTTCTATTTTCATCTTGAATTTCTCATTTTTATAGTTATTTGATCGTTTTATATCATTTTTCAATTTCTTCCTCAATTTATTCTCACGTTTTGTAGATTGTAATTGGTTTTTTGTCGCTTTCTTCACGTCAATCTCATGTCATGCAACGATGGCAAGAATCGTTGGACGGGTGCTCTACTTCCGGTGGCTAGTTAAGGGTCCGCACTTTGATCGATTGGTACTTTCAAGTACTCGATCAGAGATAGGTCTTATAGTCGAATGTCATTCTTGTAAGTCGGCTCCGGTGGTCAGGAATTTATTTCTTGCTCCTTCCTGTGTCGTCAGAATGTAAGTCGTTCTTCTACAAGACCGTTGTCGTAACCCCTAACTGGTCACGACTGGAAAGTATCATTTGTCCATCGATTTTCGTAAGTCCATTGATGTAAGTCGTGATATGAGGGCGATAGTGATGTAGGATTGATTTTTTTAAGTTTTATCTTCTTTTTTATCGATGATGATTCGAGTTTTGGTTTTTCTTCTTTATTTTTTCTTTTGCGCTTGTTTGTATCTTCTTCTGAATTATGTGTCTTCTTCTGTCTCTTTGAAATGATAGGAATATTTATTTGATTTAATAATTAACAATTTCAATTTTTTCTTATTATTTTTTTCGCTTTAAAGAAAAAAGTGTATCTTTGATACGAATGCAAATAGACTTAAGATTTAGTATTAAGCTAGATTTAAGCTTCATCGTTGAATGATTAATTGTAATAAATAATTAATGTAAAGATCATTGTAAAGATTCTTTGTATCGAAAATTTTTATTTAAATAAGAGCGTATTTTTAGATATATATAAATTTAAGATTTAGTATTAAGATCTAGATTAAGCTAGATTTAAGCCTCATCGTTGGACGATATATTAATTGCGAACGAGAAATTGCGACAAATGTAAAGATTATTGTAAAGATTATTGTAAAGATTATTGTAAAGATTATTGTAAAGATTATTGTAAAAATTATTGTAAAGATTATTATAAAAATTCTTTGTATTGAAAATTTATTTTACATTTTAGATTTATTTTATATGATATTTATTTATGTGTTGTATATTTTGTGTTTTATATTTTTTTAATTTGTTTAATTAAATTAATCTTAATATCTTTCTTTTTTTTTTTTTTTAGCTTTAGGTGGGTCTCGATGCGTAGTTACCTCCTCGTGGTGAGACCTGGTAATTGGTATCGATTTTCGATAAATTAATCTTTGGAAACTTTTCAATATTTTCATTGAAAATTTTTCAAAAATTAATCTTTGAAAAGCGATATCAAGCTAAGAACTACGCGATTCTTGTATCCATTCTTCTCTGAAAATAATTTATGATTTTTTTACAGATATTCTTTTCTTTGGGGTCTTGAATGATAATAATTGCATTGTATATTTGTCTTGCATAACTGATATTAATCAAATGCAAAGAAAGATTAGTAATAATTATGTTAAAGGATTAACATTCATATATACTGATAAAAGTTTCTTAAGAAATATTCAATGTAAAATTGGGAGCAAAATGTTGAGTGGTGATTTTCTCCACTATGTTTCTAGTGTTGCTAGGTAATTCAAACGTCGATAATAATTATTGATTGCATTATACATGTACGATAGACAGGTGCAAAAAAGCCACAATAAGAGGAAATATGTGAAATATGAAATGGAAAATCGTATACACGTATATACATACATCTTTCAAATTTAATATTTCCCCATCATGAAATTTCAAGATAAACTAGTTAACAGTATCTTCAACCATAATACGTAATGCATTGAAATACGACAAAGATGTGTATAGATACTGCAAAACAATAAAGGAATACGAAAAAATATCAAATAATAACAATTATTACGAGTAAAAAAATAGAATAAACATAATACCTTCCCGTAATAAGATAATGAAAGTGCAGGTACAATACCATTAATCCCAAAACTTTCGTATTTCTGAGATCTTAAAATTATAAAAAGTATCTTTCTTTGGGTTCTGATGTCTCTTCTGTACCAATCCATATTGTACACTTTTGTAGCCATTTTCATTGTCTTAGGATAAAAGATGAAATTGAAAATGTTTCATTGTCAATTGAAATGTATCGTATCGTGATAATTTGATTACCATGTGCATCAAGCTATCCGCTGGCCAAGCGTACATAAAGAGTTCCACGCTGGCACTGAACACCACGATAGCGTATAAAGCCTTCAGGGCTAGTGGCTGATTCTATTTCAGAAAGTTTCAAAATTTCAATTGATTCTCAGAATCAGTTTCAACGTTTTAAAAATTAAATTACATACAGCAATTAAATTTAAACTGCCGAATATCACGGCAATGACAGTTGTTCCATTTGTTGCCAAAATTAGATATCTGATAGATCGTCGAATTTCCCTTGTATGTCTGTGCGAATTGGATAAAATCAGAATATCAGAATAAAAATATATAATTAAATACTGTGCATTTAAAATTCTATACATTTAAATGCATAAAAAAGTATTTTAACATGCAATTTATACAATAATAAATACAAATCAGTACGAGAAGCTTTATAATATTTAGATTGTAAAAGGTGATTACCTTAAGAGTTCATTATGCTTCTCTATGCAGGCGTCGAACTCACCGTCTGATTTCGCATTACTGAATTGAATTCCTAAAATCTCGAATCTAGCTGCGGCATATCGTAAAAGAAGAGCGATCTGAGTGTCAACAGCCATGCCTGAAGACACTTGAAACCCAACGAACGATTGATGGAAAAAGATTAAACCCTTGTATGGATGACGTCTCACTGAAAATGGATATATCGCGTGGGTGGGGAATGTTTGCGCTGTGTACAATGGACTGCATATGACGAATATCGTAGTAAGAAAACTCCATAATATATAGAAACTATGAAAATATTTGTATCTATCAACGTAACGTTGCAGTATGATCTTTTCTTCGTTCGTGGCCTGTTTGCAAAAGTTCTCCATTTCAGAGTACAGCACCTAAAAGAGCACTTTGCTCGAGATGCACGATTATTTTAATTGAAATAGAATATAAAAAATAAATAAAGAGAATAAAAGAATGAGATAGAATAAAAAAAATAAAGATAAAATATAAAAAAAGGAAAACTTTCGATCTTTGATTTTTTTTCTTTTTTTATAAATGAATATTAAAACATTTCTCAAGAGTTAAAATATTTCTCCTCTCATTTTATCAAGAGAGTAATGAACTTACTTGAAAAGGTTTCTGCTGCAAACGACATATTATCATTTTAATCGTCACTTGAGCAACAGCCGCGGTAAGGCTCACCGTTTTCCCAAGAATAATAGGATGCTTACGATATTCGTAAATGGCGGCCAATAATGGTAAAAATAATGTGACAGCGGTTAAAAACGCAATGCACCACAATACATTAAAGAAAAGATGTTGAGCTTTGGTTGCAAGAGGAGAAGGAGGCCAGGAACACGTGAGAGCAACGCTGAGTTTCGTGAACAAAATCGCTCTTTCTGGTATTAAGCGATTTTTCATCTTGATGATGTAGCCCAATATATTATAGATATATTAAAGCAATAGTACATTGATATTATGCAACAAGTTTATTTTTAATAGAATTCGAAATCTCATAAAGAATAAGAGATATCGAGAAACGTGATAGAATCTTATATTACGTACAAAACTTAATTTATTTTTTTAAAAATACGAAGAAACGCGATTTCGAAAAATGCAAAGTTTTATCGACTGATAATGTTAACTTGATGTTAACATGAATTTAAAGTGACGGTATATACCTCCGTACGCCATTGAATTCGAGATTAAATTATAATGTAACGCACAATCGTGTAATCAAGCTAGAATGTAATCGACATTGATCGATGCGTGTAATTATTTTACCGCTCCGTGAGAATACCATGTGTTCCTTGAATAGGGTAAAACAATAAATGTTTATGGTATGATATGCTTATTACGTCAAGAAAGACTATAGATAAGTACTTAGTACATGGAAAAGATTCCACAATATATCGCGAAGCAAGGAACGAATGTGATATCACAATTAACTGTATTAAATGCTTTAAAGATTTTGGGAAAATTATTTATTTATATATACACATATATATAATTTATATTTTAATTTTTGAAGTAGAATTGTAATTTTTTGACAGTTTTATTGACAGTCTGCTAAAAAGTGTTTACAAATAAATTTTAGATATTATTTTATCGAGTAAGTATAAATATTTTTTTCCTTTAGGTTTCTTTATTTCACATTCATGTAGATTTTATAAAAATTTTATAATATAGAAAATATAGAGTGACTACAAAAAGTATTTGCATTCTTATTTTCTAATAAAGCGTTTTTTAAAAGATTATATATTTTACTTTTATAATTAAAAGTCTTATATGAAAATAGTACAATACAAAATATATATTGTTGTATATAATTAAAAAATATATATATATATTATTAAAGTCTTATAATCATATGAAAATAATACAATAAATTTAATATGCACTTGATTACTTAAATGCTATATTTATATAATATTATGTAGATATTTTTTGTAGTCACTATATAAGAAGTATAAAATTTTATTCTTACATATTTACAATACAAATTTTTATCATGTTAATTTTACAATAAAATATATTTCATGACATTGTATATTTTGTACATGTGTATAGTAAGTAAAATAATAATTTAATATTATCATAATTAATTTGGCAACAATTAATTTATACAAGTATAATACTTGGTTATATTTTTTTCAATCTTCAATATTTTTTCTTTTCCTAATAGGTATAAAAAAATAATTAATTTTAATCTAACTGACTTAACTTATACTAATAAATGCCCAATGAATTATGATTATAGTCTTTTATATCTATTGCTGCTCGCAAGCATTTGTCCATTTATATCTCTTTAAAAATCATAGATTAATAAAAAAATAATTTTCACGATAAAGGACTAATATAAATTTCATTTCGAATAAAATATTACAAATTTTATTCGATTCATATTGTATATTCGTATCATATAAATTCACATATAATGAAAATATCATTAGCAATTTTGTTTAAAATAATTTCTATTTCCATCTTTTTTTATTTTTATTTTTATTTTGAATAATTCATATATATATAATAAAAATATTAACAATTTTTCATCTCAATTAATTTTCATTATATACGCATTATTTATACAGTATAACATCACTAAAACGAATAAAATGATAAAGTTTCAAGTCGCTTGTGGCGATGATACTTTACTCGAATGCGAGTGGGTAGGTTTCGGCCCGGTAGTTGGTATTTTAGCAGAGATTGGACACAAAATCTGCTTGTAAGCCTCTCTGTAAAGCTTGTTAGTGCCGGCATAAATGAAAGGATTGATCACAGAAGAGGCCCACGCGAGCACAGAAGCTATCACGTGCAAAATTGGGATTTTTATTTTATCGTCGATCACATTGACGAGCATGAGCGGCATGAAACACAAAAGGAAGCACAGAAATATAGTCAACATTAATCTGGTCACTCTAGAGTCTTCTCTTCGTTGAAACCCTCCTGCTTTTCTTCTGTTCGGGCCGGCATGGGCTTCCAAATTTTTTCTGCTCTTCCTCACACGCCAATAGATGCAAAAATAAGAAACACTTATCACAACGCATGGCACGATGAATCCTAGAACGAATAAGAATTTCTTTGGGCTGCTACCGTTCTTCTTTAGTATAGTGCAAGAGAAGGTGGACGGTTCCAGGCCTAGTGTTCCCCAGAAACCGAGCAATGGCGGCAAAAGTAGAGTGAAACTCAATGTCCAAATGGCGATTAGCATTAGAATAATCCGTTGAGTAGTGTACAATTGAGCGTATATTTCTGATCTCGAGATTAATATATATCTGAAATTTTGTCAATCGATTAGATGAATATCTGGAAGATATAATTTTCAATTATTTATTAATTTATTATTAATTGTTTTGATTTTATAATTTTATGTTTTACAATCTTTATTTTAATAATAAGTATTCTTAATTTTTTAATCATTTTTATTACAAAAGTATCGATTTAAATTCGATAATTGCTAATAATTTGCAATTCAACATAAATAGCAGCTGTTCGTATTGGATTTATCACGCGTACATTTGATCTTATTCAGATGAGCAATGGATTAAGTTCCATTGAAGTATGCTGACTTTGTTAAATCAGTCATATAATAATTCGTCAGCATACTTTAAAATAAATTAAACAAGAAACTTTGTTATTACAGGTGTCTTACTGTGTGACAAAACATTAGGGAAAATATCGAAAGATTAGAAAAATATTTGAAATTCTTATAACAATTATTTATTTTTATTAAAATTACCAACCGATTAATCGTGATTGCCACCATACTGAGCAAAGACACCGCGACATTTCCATAGAAAAAGAGCGGAAATATTTTGCACAGAGTTTCACCCAGCACCCACGCCTCGTTTAAATATCTGCTCGCAGTTAATGGTAGATTTACCGCGGAAAAAATCAAGTCAGAAATGCTGAGACTTATTACGAAAGCGGTCGTAGCATGCCGTCTCAGCCTCGTGTATTTTAATAATGCTATTACTGTTACCAAATTGCCTGAAACATAAGAAAAATAATTAAAAAAAGAAAAACAAGTGAAAATTACAAATACAATTTTTACATTTAATTTAAAATAATTAAATAACAAGTGGATATCATAGATATTAATTTTTAATAATGTGATAAAAATAATCATATCATTTAAATAAATATATATAATAATATACAAGAAATATGTGAGGAATATATTCGCGCAATTGAAGCTTCGTTATTTGAAGTCGTAAAAGAAGCAAGCGCATAATTAAAATAGAAGGAATTAATCGTTCTAATTCTTGACACCCTCGTGCATAATTTAAGGGCGTTTAATAGCTGTTAAACTGAGAAACGCCACCATGGGTCAACAAGAACTTAACCACAGAATTGAAACGTACAATTAAAGGTTCAGTCACATCTGTATGGATTATTTTCCTCCTCTATTTCTGAAACCTTTTCTAACGATGGAAGACTTTTATAAAATAAGTTTCACAAATATAATTCTCTTGACGATTATTTTATGGAAATATTCTTTTCTTTTTTTTAAGAAATTTCTAATTAATTTTGAATTTTATAAAAACTTGCAATCGATATGAAATAATTTATTTCATATAAATGTAAAGAAGTAAAGAAACTGGATTTTACCCGCAACTCCAACGACACTGAAAATTATCGCGCAAACCGCAGCTGCGATAGTGACTGGCCGTGGAAAGTGCTTGAGACTCTCACCTCCGGATTCGAAAATTGTGTCGTTTGTTACAGAATCGTCCATTTTGTATCGTGTTTATGTGCTTCCTCGATGTGACATTTTCTTGGACAGTGAAATACAGAACGAAGTGCGTACACTTTGAGAAAAGAGAAAATTGATATCATTAGGACACCTGGATTTAATGTCAACTATACATTTACGATACAAATATATGATCATATCAAATATACGAAATTTTACAGAATTTTTACATCCATTACATGAATTCAACATTTAATAAATTCATATTGATATTATATTAATTTAAAAATACATCTTCACGATTTTTCTATATAATATAAAATAAAAATAAAAATAGATGGAAATTTAGAATAAAATTTCAATTTAAGATATACTTACGTCACAATTGTGATATTATTCATCGTGTTTATACGTGGAAATTTTTGTTTCTTCTTCTCATTCAATCAATTTCAAATTATTCATCGATTTGTATTAATCGAACGATATTTTTCCAGATTTTGATGTGAAAATTTCGATTCAAGTTGCGGTTGACTTTTTTTATCACAAGATGAATGAAGCCAATGTTTACCACTGCCTTGTATTGGCCCCATCGAAAGTTGACTGGTCTAAAACAGAAAGCAACGAGATAACATAACTTAACTTAATTATCCATGATTCACGTATCAAGAGAGAAAAAAAACCTTGGTTTATTAATTGAAACAACGATAACAGAATTCCTTATCGACGCCCTTTCACAATTTATTACAGACACTGTTAATGAATCTTTCCCAATAACGAATCGTTATAAAATTCAGAACTTTCCTTCGCGATATTCTTTCTCGTTATCTCAATTTTAATTAAAAGAAGCTCTCGCACGATAACGAGAGACAAATTATTCGTGAAGTAACGTATCCACTAACGTCACGTTTCGATATAAAAAAATTCATACAATTTAATTTTATTACTCGCAGAAAACGAAATCTAAAAATTAAATTGAAATAATTTAAAAGACATGCATACGACGTCGAAAATAAAAAGTGTAGATTTAAAAAAAAAAAAAAAGAAATTACATGATAAAATACATTGAAAAATAAAATATCGTATTTATTGGAAAAATTTCGAACGAACCTCAACAACATAAACACTTTTTTATTCTTATTATAAAGAGGATTGAAGTTTGAAAATTCAACGAACCACCGCATTTCTGTATTGTTGAAACTCTGTGCCACTAGATTTGCATATGCCAATCGTCGCTCCACTGTCTGGAACGATTAAACGCACGAGGAGGGCTCCTTATCCGAGCCAGCCATTCGAATACAACTCACTTCTCCTCTTCTTTTTATTCGTTCATTAGCAGCGACTCGTTCTATCCGTTCTCGTTCTCCGATTTTCTTCCCATCGTCGTGGCGACATCGAAAAAACGAGGGGCCGAGGGGAATCCTTCAGACCTCGACGAGAAGAAAGAAAACCTCTTCCTCTTCTTTATCCCTTCCGTTTACTCTGGAATGGTCATGGGATTTGAACTTGTTGCGACAGACGCGGAAAGTTGTTCTTGGAACTATCGGAATCCGCTGAACTTCGACCTTGCCTTATTGAAAATAATTGATTTTCACTGGTTACTTGGAAATACTGGCATTGACGCGATATGTTCATTTCCAATTTTCCAAAGATCTTTCTTCGTCTCCTCGAAAAATCTTGGAAAACGAAGGTGAAGATCTTGGAAATCTTTGAAATATATTATCGACGAAATTTGTGAAATCTTGGAAATTTGAATAAATATCGATAAAAGTCGTGGAGGACGCTAACAAAAGTTTTAGAAAACTTTGAAAACTCTTGAAAAATATGAAGAAGAAATAAATTTTTTACATTATTTCGACTCGATTCTAAATTAAATATCTGAAATTTGTGAGTCAATTGATTTCTAAGTATTATTTCATCAAATTTCTTTTTTCAACGTTGCCATTACAAACAGGTAACTTATTGTATAATGAATAATCGCTGTTATCTTCAAATTCCTATCTTCTTCCTGCTCTTTCTTCAAATCAAATCATCATCGATAACACCTCACAAAGGGTCACATTCAGTTCAGAAACTCGATTATTCAATACCACTCTATTTCACTATGTTTCCTCTTTCTTTCTCACCACCAAAGAAATACCCTTGTAATTTTTATATATACGATAACACCTTATCCCAAATCTATAAACCTCCACCATTTCTCTAAACCAATCTCGATTCTTTTTATTAATTATTCATCTTTTTCACTCAAGAAGCGATCCAACAACAAACTTTTTTATGACTTCTTGAGTCTTGCAAATAAAATGAATAAAATTATTTTTTATTATTTAATAAAATTCCAAAACTTTCAAGTTCCACACTTTTTGCGTAAAAATATTTCTCGCAATTCTTTACAATACTAGAACAGTCGCAAACTCGTTTCGCCTAGTTGACACAACGATCATTCCTCGACTGACGAGATTCGTCGACGCTTTACTCCCCTTTTACACGAGGAATACACTTCTTATCTGCCACTTCTTTCATATAACTCTCTCGCTTCCTCCATCGCTGCCTTTTTTACGGTTCTTTCGTATTCCGCCTCTCTGAACCCTTGCCTCTTTCGCCCAAGCATCACTGCCACCAAGAAATCGTAATTAATTTAATCTCTCTCTCTTTCTCTCTCTTTCTCTCTCTCTGGAGATCATTGTTGAACCGAGCATCGTTCAAGTACAATCGAGCAAAATGATACTACTCGAGCTGTGGTGGCCATCGTGAGAATTTTTGGACCCCTCTCACTTGTGTGACACTTTTAAAAAGATAACTTCTTCTTCTCTAGTTACGATGTCTTTTCGATTTGCATTTTTTCTTTTTTTTGTATTTTGTCAATTTTTGTTTTTCGTTGAAAATCTTGAAGAATAAATGGAAATTTTTGAAATAAATATTAATATATGTTGATTAAAGTTTTGGAATTAAGATTTCGAGTATCATTTTCTACAAAACTTCTTACAAAAATTTATTTTGAAAGAAGGCAACTGAATATAAGATTTAAAAGGTCAAAACGACTGAGGCCATGGTGAAATTTTATATTCTAATTTATTCCTCTTCTGCTGTCATTGTTGGCGTAAAAGAATTTAATCAACGTGGAAAAAGTAAAAATAAATCATTCAAGTGCTTCGATAATTTATATTCAAAAAATTATAATACAAAATAAAAATCCAGATTCATCTTTTTTAAAATTTAAAAAAAATTTAAATAAAAATGAAAGTTAAAATTAAAAATCAAGGAGAACAATTTAAGAAATTTTAAAATTATAGACATTTATTTTATTTATGCAATTTATATACCAAAATCAATTTTATTTTCCTCTTTCTTTTTACAGTTTATAACTCGAGATTGAAATTTCATGTATGAAGAAACATCTTTCTTCACATAGTAACCTTGTTTCAAATAGCAGCAAATATAGATGTTCAAACAAATGAGAAATCATGCGTGAAAAAAGTAAACTGTGAAAAGATAGAACGTAAAAAATATTATTTCTAGCATCAACTTTTACTTTCAGATCCTTAATAACAAGTTACTTATCTTATTTTTAGATTATAAATCTGATCTCTTTGAAAAAATGCAAGTATTTTTATAAATTAATTACTTATTTATTTAAATATTAATACCATATGATATTTAAAAAATCTATAATATAGATTTCAGTAGTCAAATATTGCCAATATATACATATATTCTATAAATTTAAATAAAATATATAATTAATCTGTTTATACGAATTATATTTACTAGTTACCATTAAAGATTGTCAATGATATATCATAATAACATCGTAACATTATCGTAATATTAACTACATATTCACAGATTACTATTTCAAAATATTAAAAAAATTTATCTTAATAATTACCCCTTTTATCAAATAAAAGTTCCTCGATTCAGAATGCTTCTCAATCAAAATTCTTCAACAACACTTGATAACAACAAAAAATTTCACAAGAAAACTGTCCCCACAAATTAACTTCCATCTCAAATCTTTCTTCAATTCAAACCAACACACTTTCCTGTTCTTCCATCAAACTTACAATCAACATTACGTTTAAACATAAAATTTCATTCTTTATGAGAATTTTAAAACTTTTCGAAATCTAAAATATTAAATCCTTTCAATCGATTAACGTAAAACACGATTACGAATTCCTTTTAACATCGTCTTGAATCAGCCTCGAAACACGAGGCTCTCCTTCGACCTTCTTGTTACGCCTCGCCCGCACGCGTTCCTCGTACTGACGAGTCGTTCCTCGCACAGAGATCGAGTCGATGGTCGAAAACAGTTGGGGGATCGGAACACGATTGGCACGCGCTCGAATTAACGCGGTCAACAGGGTGCAAAGGGGGTTGGCGGCGAATATTAACTTTCACGCATTCCTCTGTACACGCTGTAACGGGCCATTAATTGTTCGATTAGCGGTGGTATCGATTGGACGTTATTACTCGTACACCGTCGAGTTATTGAAGTAGCGCTTGATTATCCGATGAAAATGTAATAATTCAAGTGGACAAAAAGAAACAAATTCGCTCGAATTGCGTGAAAAAAAAAGAAAATGCGTGGAATTGTATTTTATTGCCCGATGCGTAAGGATTATATTGAGCTTTCAATGGGAATTAATTGATTTCCTTTAATTTCGGGATCGATTTAATTCGGGGGAGAATTTTGTATTTAATTATCGGTTAATTAGATTTTTTTTGAGATTGGTCAAAATAAGGAGGAGATGAAAATGTTTTTCCCATGAAAATGTTTTTTTATGATAAAATTAATATTGTAATTTATTTTCATAACATTACTTACTTTAATCACAATAGATACACTACAGGCCGATAATTTGTTTCTCGAATCTTTTGTGATTTATTACTCGATTCCAATAAAAAGGAAAAGTATATATATTTTTTAATTCGCGCATAAAGAGTTAAGAATAAATTATTTTATAGACGATGTTCGAGCGACAAATTGTAAGTAGTCAATTGTAATAGTCAATTGTAATTGTAATAGTACAATCAAAATTGTAAGTCGTCAATTTTTCATGTAGACGATAAAATAATTCGCAATGGTAAATAAAAAAAGTGGTGTAATTCTTATCAATAGCAAGACAATGCAGAATTTCTATATCGGTTATTTGCTAGACCATTTTGATCCCCAGCATGGGCCCCTGTGTCAACAGTACTAAAACGTAATTATGCGTCGACTTTCTCATGATGTATTTCAATGCAAGTTAACCCCCCGTTGATGTTAAAAGATAGCCATACGGACGACTTAGCATCGCGTAGGCCAGCTGCCTGTGGACTCGGCACAAAGCCCAAAGAGCTTAACAATCGGAAAGGAACGGTCCAACAAACAAAACTTCACCCCTCCTTGCCCCTTTTCATCCCCTCGATACCTCACCTGGCTCCCCACCCTAAGATTAAAGGTAATCTTGGAAAATTCTCGTTTCTTGCGTCGATCAGAGAGAGTTTATTGTTAGTTGACAAGATTAGATTATAAAAATATATCCTTTTGTTGTTATTCGTATTTCGTATTTCTCTTCATATTAACGTTAATTCGAATTAGAAATATCGGCTTCGTTATCTATTAGAAATAAAATGAAATTAATCTTTTATCGAGTAAAATGTATATTCTCATTTCGTTCTCGTTATTGGTTATTTCACAATGGAAAAATTATATTATTTAAATTTATAATTGTATAGGATTAAATTTTTCAACTTTATTCTTTTAATGGTTTAGAGGAAATTTTGGCACGATATTAAAAGGCAAAAGTATTCATTAGATTCGTTAATCATTAATTAATTGTATATTATTCAAGAAATTTATTTTTAAATTATTAAACAAGATGAAATGATTTATGAATAAAAAGTATTCGTTTATGAAAATAATCGACTGATGATTACTGTCAACGATTGTGAATTATTTCTACAAAAAATTTCTCTAAGTTGAAGAAAAATATTTTCACTCCATCCACTAATTGTTCTTTTCATCCTTTCCTTTCAACACTTATGCATTTTAATGCAATACTCGTTCTATTTCTTTGTCAAAATCCAAATTTTTCTATATAAAATGGCACGAAAACTTCTCGTGCCCCGAATAAACTGTTTTGCATAACCAACCCCGATTAGGGATTCGAGTAACCTGCCTCGAAGAGGAATGCACCGTGAGAAGAAGGATATTTTTTCTGTTTGTATACATTTCTCAGGAGAAGGGAGGCCAAAAATTTATACTTTGGACTCGCGTAATCACACTGTGCATACAATAGATCTTTTTTAAAATCTTTCGCTATCTTTCGTAATATTTCATGTTTGAAAGAAAAAAATATTCATCTGGTTATCTACCTTCGAAAAATAATTTTCAATTTACACAAGTGTAACATGGAACAAGGATTGTGTAGAATAAATTATTGGATTTTACAAATACTTTCGAAAATACGAATTCTGTTTTAAACATTTTATTTATTATTTCTAATTAATTCTTAATTAGAAATTCTTAATTAATTCTTAAAAATCTTTTTTTTTTTTGCGAATTGAAAATTATATTATTTCCAATAAATGAAACATCGTATCGAGTATATTTAAACTGCAAATATTCTATCGATTTTTCGTTTATATTTGAAAAATTGATTATCAGATTTTTGATAATATTACAAATATTTAGAATTACAGATAATTTTAGTGCAGGAACGCCGGAATTCCGCCGTCTATATTTATTACCGATAAGCTATCTGCGATAGGACATCCAAAACCAGGCCTCGTATTCACACTGATTAATTTTTTTTTCTTTTTTTTTTTTTTCAGTCAATTAACAGTGATGCTTTCAAGTTTGAAAATTTAAATTTTAATTTAATACCACTTAAAAAAAAAACATTTTAAATCTAATTTTATTTTATCTTGCTTTAAAAATTGATTATTATAGAATTTGTACATATTCTAAACGAAAGATACATCACATAATGTGACAAATTTATTTTTTATTTTCGTATTAAAATAATACGATTCGTTTTATTGTTATTAAATTATGTAAATTATGTATATTTATATTTGTATAAAATATTTTGTTTATAAAATCGATGTATTCATTAAGAATCGGCGAAATTTTTCTCCTATTCGATAAACATATACAATCGAATCGGGACAAGATAATCAAAAGCTAAAATGACGAAACTGGTGTGTACAATGGCTTCATAGAAGAAAGTTGTTTCGCTGCACCCGGGGTAATTAACGATTTCTTTATGGCAAATGATTGTACATCCCGACCGGAAAGCCTAAGAATCTGACCACGCATAATGGTTACTAATACGCGAGTGCAGATAGCCGTAATCATCGTTCAATAAAAGTGATCAGTGGTTATAAATTTCACAAAGCAGTACAAGCGTCGATAAGGGG